AAAAGTTTTAGGGTTAGCGTACGTGTTAGGGTACGGGTTAGTGTTAGTGTACGGGTTAGGATTAGCATACAAGTTAGGCAAAGGCTTCAGTTAAGTTTTAGGGTTAGGGTTAGGTTTAGGGAAGTGGGACAGTTTAGGGTACAGGTTAGGGTAGGCCAACGGTTTAAGATTAGCATACGTGTTAGGGTACTGGTTAGTGTTAATCTACGGGTTTTGTTTAGGGTAAGGCTTCGGGTAAGGTTTAGGGTTAGGGTTAGGTTTATGGTTAGGGAACAGGGACGGTTTAAGGTACAGGTTAGGGTACGACAACAGTTTAGTGTTAGCGTACGTGTTATGGTACGGGTTAGTGTTAGTGTTCGGGTTAGGATTATGGTACAGGTTAGTTTAAGGCTTCGGGTAAGGGTAAGGGTTAGGGTTTGTGTTAGGGTTAGGGTTAGGGTTAGGGTTAGTGTTAGGGTTAGGGCTAGGGAACGGGTACGGTTTAGCGTACAGGTTTGGTTCCAACAACGGTTCAGTGTTAGCGTACGTGTTAGGGTATGGGTTAGTGTTAGTGTCCGGGATAGGATTAGGGTTCAGTTTAGGGTAAGGCTTCGGGTAAGGTTTAGGGTTATGGTTAGGGTTACGGAACGGGTACGGTTTAGGGTACAGTTTAGGGTACGACAACTGTTTAGGGTTAGCGTACGTGTTATTGTACGGCTTAGTGTTAGTGTAAAGGTTAGGATTAGGGTATGGGTTAGGTTAATGCTTCGGGTAAGTGTTAGGTTTAGGGTTAGCGCTAGGGAATGGGTATGGTTTAGGGTACAGGTTAGGGTATGCAACAGTTTAGGGTTAGCGTACATGTTAGGGTACGGGTTAGTGTTAGTGTCTGGGTTAGGATGAGAGTACGTGTTTGGGTAAGGCTTCGGGTAAGGGTTAGGGTTAGGGAACGAGTACATTTTAGGGTACACGTTAGTGTACGACAACGAGTTAGGGTTAATGTACGTGTTAGCGTAAGGGTTAGTATTAGTGTATGGGTTAGCATTAGGGTACCGGTTAGGGTAAGAGTTAGTGTAAGGTTAACGTTTAGTGTTAGGGTTAGGGTTAGGATTAGCGTTAGGGTTAGCTTACAGGTACCGTTTAGGGTACAGGTTATGGTACAACCATGAGTTAGGGTTAGGGTACGTTACTGTATGTGTTAGTGTTAATGTACGTGTTAGGGTAAGGGTTAGGTTTAGGGTTATGGTTAGTTTTAGTGAATGGGTTCATTTAGGTTACAGGTTAGGGCACAATAGCGAATTGTGGTTAGGGTACGTGATAGGGTACGGGTTAGTGTTAGTGTATGGGTTAGGATTAGGATACGTGTTAGGGTAAGGCTTAGGGTAAGTGTTACAGTTTGGGTTAGGGTTAGGGAATGGGTACGGTTTAGGTTACAGGTTAGGGTTCGACAACGGGTTAGGGTTAGGGTACGTGTTAGGGAAAGGTTTAGTGTTAATGTATGGGTTAACTTTAGCATACGGGTTAGTATTAGGTTACGGGTTAGTGTAAGTATTTCAGTAAGGGTTAGGGTTAGGGAACGGGTACAGTTTAGGGTACACAAACAGGTTAGTTTTAGGGTACGTGTTAGGGTATGGGTTAGTGTTATTGTCTGGGCTAGGATTAGCATAAGGGTTAGGGTAAGGTTTAGGGTAAGGGTTAGGTTTTGTGTTAGGGTATGGCTATGGTTTAGGGTACAGGTTAGGGTACGACAAAGGGTTAGGTTTAGGGTTCATATAGGGTCCTGGTTAGTGTTAGTGTATGGGTTAGGATTAGGGTACACTTTAGGGTAAGGCTTAGGGTAAGGTGTAGGGTTTGGGTTAAGTTTAGGATTAGGGTACGGGTACAGTTTAGGGTACAGGTTATTGTACAACAATGGGTTAGATTTAGGGTACGTGTTAGGGTACGGGTTATAGTTAGTGTACAGTTTAGGATTATTGTATGGGTTTGGTAAGGCTTAGGGTAAGGGTTAGTGTTACAGTTAGGGTTAGGTATAGGTTAGGGATCGGGTACAGTTTATGGTATATTTTAGGGTATGACAACGCTTTAGGGTTAGGGTATGTGTTAGGGTATGGTTTAGTGTTAGCATACAGGTTAGGATTAGGGTACGGTTTAGTGTAAGGCTTAGGGTAAGTGTTAGGGTTAGAGTTAGGGTTATAGTTAGGGAACGGTTTAGCATACATTTTAGGGTACGACAATGGTTTAGGGTTAGGGTACGTGTTAGGGTATGGGTTAGTGTTAATGTATGGTTTAGGATTAGGTTACGGGTTACGGTAAGGCTTAGGGTAAGGGTTAGGGTTAGGGTTACAATTAGGGATCAGGTACGATTTAGGGTACAGGTTAGGGTACGACAAAATGTTAGGGTACATGTTAGGGTCCGGGTTATTGTTAGTGTATGGGTTCGGATTAGGGTACAGTTTAGTGTAAGGCTTAGGGTTAGAGTTAGGGTTATGGTTAGGGATATGGAACGGGTACAGTTTAGGGAACAGATTAGGGTATGAAAACGTGTTAGAGTTAGGGTACTTGTTAGGGTAAGGCTTAGAGTAAGGATTAGGGTTAGGGTTAGGTTTAGGGTTAGGGAAAATATATGGTTTAGGATACAGGTTAGGGTACGACAATGGTTTCGGTTTAGGGTACAGGTTAATGTTAGTGTACAGGTTAGGATTAGGGTACGGGTTAGGGTAAGGCTTAGGGTAAGGTTAAGTGTTAAGGTTAGGGTTAGGATTAGGGTTAGGTTTAGCATACAGGTACGGTTTAGGGTACCAGTTATGGTATGACAACGAGTTAGGGTTAGGGTACCTTTTAGGGTACGGGTTAGTGTTAATGTACAGGTTAGGTTACGGGTTAGAGTAAGGGTTAGTGTTAGGATTACGGTAGGGTTAGGGAACGGGTACGTTTTAGTTTACAGGTTGGGGTACCACAACGGATTGTGGTTAGGATACGGGTTTGGGTATGGTTTTGTGTTAGTGTACGGGTTAGTTTTAGGGTATGGGTTATGGTTAGGCTTAGGGTAAGGGTTAGGTTTAGGGATTGGGAATGGGTACGGTTTAGGGTACAGGTTAGGGTACGACAATGGGTTAGGATTACGGTTCATGTTAGGTTATGGGTTAGTGTTAATGTACGGGTTAGGATAAGGGTACGTGTTAGGCTAAGGCTTAGGGTAAGGGTTAGGGTTAGGGATTGGATTAGGGAACATGTATGGTTTAGGGTACAGTTTAGTGTATGGTAACGGGTTAGGTTTAGGGTACGTGTTAGCATATGGGTTAGTGTTAGTGTACGGGTTAGGATTAGGGAATGGTTTATGGTACAGGATAGGGTTAGGATTAGTGGTACGGTACAGTTTAGGTTTAGGGTACAGTTTAGGGTATGGCTAGAGTTTAGGGTTAGTGTCCACGTTCGTGTATGGTGTAGTGTTAGGGTATGGGTTAGGATTAGGGTACAGGTTAGAGTATGGTTTAGAGTTAAGTTTAGCATTACGGTACGGGTTAGGTTTAGGGTACATTTTGTGGTATGGTTACGGTTTAAGGTTAGAGTATGGGTTAGTGTACCGGTTAGTGTTAGGGTACGGGTTAGGATTAGGGTATGGGTTAGAGTACAGTTTATGGTTAGGGTTAGGGTACAGGAGAGGGTTAGGGTACAGTTTAGGTTATGGCTACGTGTTAGGGTTAGGGTATGTCTTACTGTATGGGTTAGTGTTAGTGTACGGCTTAGGGTTAGTGTACTTGTTAAGGTAACAGGGTTGGGTTAGGGTTATGGAACAGGTACTGTTTAGGCTACTGGTTAGGGTACGGTTATGGGTTAGGTTTAGAGTACAGGATAGGGTTAGGGTATGGGTTACAGTTAGCGTTTTGGTTAAGCTTAGTGTATGGGTTAGGAATAGGGTTAGTGTTAGGGTACGCTTTAGGGTTAGGGTATTTATTAATCCTCTCCCACTCTCCAGATATCACTTAGCACGTTTCCCTAGGTACCAGGTTGGGGAACGTAGAAATGCTGCCGACCTCTGGCCAATACCTGCAACAGCACCTTTGAAACCTGTGCTAATGGTCACTTCATATGCACAAGTACTGCATGGTTGTAAATGAAACCTGCCCTCAAAATATCTTCATGCAGGTAAAGGCCAAAAACTTTCAAAATGTGGCACATATTTCAAGAAAACAATTTGAAGAAGTAAGCTGTAATAGCAGTTTGAAAAATAAAAGGACATGCCTGAAAGCTCAATTTCAAAGGACTATGAGACATATGCAAATCCAACCACAATGAGGTATCAGCTCACACCACTCAGAATTACTATCAGCAAAGAAACTACAAACGATCAGTGCTGAAGAGGTTGTGTAGAAATGCATATCTTCGATTTGAAGTGGGACGTAACCTGGCAAGAGCCAATAATGGGAACAGAATGGAGGTGCCTTTAAAAGGTAAACATTGAGCTACTGTATGATCCAGCAGGCCTACTCCTCAGCCTACAACCTAAGAAGACAGAATTGGAAAGACATAGGCAAGCAAAACTGCACTGCAGCAGAATTACAATAGCCAAGACATGGAAGCAACCAAAAAGTCCATCAAGAGACGAGTGGACTAAGAAGAAATGGTACACGTAAAGATGGAATATTAGCCAAGGAAAAAAATGAAACAATGACATTTGCAGCACCATAGATGAGTCTAGAGGTGATCGTGCAACTGGTAGTAAGTGAGAAAGCGAAAGACACATATCCTATGATATGACTTATAGGTGTTTCCTAATTATTGATACCAATGAAGATATTTCCACACAGAAAGGCAATCACAGATTCATTAAACAAACTTATGGTTCACCAAATGGTAAAGTGTGAGGATTGGATACATTATGATATTGGAGTTAACAGAGATATACAAACACATGTGAAATATATAATCACCAAAGACCTACGGAACACCAAGAGAAGACTACTCAACGTGGTGTAGTCTGGTAAAAGGATCTGAAGAAGAATAGATATATATGTACATGTGTGAAAGAACCACATTTTGCATGCCTTGAACAAACAAAACACTGTAATCAAATTTGCTGTGATAAAAAATAAAAATTAAAATTAATTTAAAAATTAAATTAAAAATTAAATTAAAAATACAAACAAGTGGGCTTCCCTGGTGGTGCACTGGTTGAGGGTGTGCCTGCCAATGCAGGGACACGGGTTCATGCCCCGGTCCGAGAGGATCCCACATGCCGCGGAGCGGCTGGGCTCGTGAGCCATGGCCGCTGAGCCTGCATGTCTGGAGCCTGTGCTCCGCAACGAGAGAGGCCACAACAGTGAGAGGCCCGCAAACGGCAAAAAAAAAAAAAAAAAAAAAAAAAATACGAACAAGAAGTAATGAGACATAAACTTAAAGGGCATTTCCTTGCACATTCCATTCTAATTTACAACCTAGAACACGACTTTCATTAAGGCTCTGTTGCCCTAGTAACCAGATTTGGTAAAGGAGAAATGCTGCCTCCTTGTGGCCGTTTCCCAAAACAGCAGCTTTAAACCCAGCATTAACGGTCACTGAATATTGAAAATATTTGCAGGACTGTAAAGGACACCGGGCCTCAGACAAAATCCTGGGGTCGTAAATCGACCAGAAAATTCAAAAGACGTCAACATTTCAAAAAGACAATAGCAAGAGGCATATTTTATGCACATTTTGTCTTTTCTTTCTTTTTGTTTAAAAAAAATGCATGGAGAAATGCTCAATATCAGCAACTAATAAAGCCATGCAAATCCAATCTACAAAAACGTTCACCTCAGAGCCGTCAGAATGAACATCAGCAAACTAGTCTACAAAGAATTAATGCTGAAAAGCTTTTAGAGAACTGTGTACCCTCTATCTGCTGGTGGGATGTAAACTGGTAACAGCCAGTAGTGAGAAGAGAATGGCGGTGCGTTTAAAATAAAAAATTGAGCTACCAAATGATCTGATAGCCCAACTGCTGGGCCTATCACCCGAGAACACAAGAGTCAAAAAGACACAGGCTGGGAATCCTGCACTACAGCAATATTTACCATAGCCAAGACTTGGAAGCAACCAAAATGTCCATCAACAGATGAATGCACAAGGAAGAAGTGGTCCAGGTACACAATGGAATATTAGCCATGGAAAGAATAAAACAGTGCTGTTTGTACCACCATAGAAGGACCTAGACATAATCATCCAACTTGAAGTAAGAAAGAAACCGAAAGACA